CCACTTTCTTTTTTTTTTGGCACGCACTTTTTACGACTGCGCAAAAGAGTCCGGTCCCCGTGCACGCTGCAAACTACGGCAGGCCTTTCTTTTTATGCCGTGCATGGGTTGCCGTCAAGAAGAATGCCGTCAATCACATAACTCTTCGTCAAAGAGGAATAGCGTCAATCACATGTTTCTTCTTGAAAGTTTCGAGTGTTCCAGATCCATCATACACGGTGCAAGTTCTCGACAATCCAGGCCCAGAAAACCATAAACAATAACACAAAAAGTTCAAAATCAGGCCCTCCGCGTGACCCTTAAGAGGGTTTTCTACAATCCAGGCACACAGAACCATAAAAAATATCTGCTCCGAAATGTCCCTCCTGCAGACATACTTCCGTATGCTCGCGCTCATGACGACGCGGTCTGGGCCGTCGTTGCCTGTTTGCTGGGCGACCCGGGGAGTTGGGCGACGACTGGGCAGCTGCTCGCCAGGTCGCTTTTCTGCCGCCGAGCCTCGGGGGGCTCGGCCTCTTCGCGGCTGAGCGGGTGTCGCCGGCTGCTTACTGGGCGGCGTGGGCAGATGCACTCCCGGTGTTGCACCAACGATACCCCGACGCAGCAGACCGGCTCGTGCGCGAACTCGAGGGCAAGCCGGTGTCGCCGTGCCTGCGTGCAGTCGTCGACGCAGCACGCCAACTCACTGGCGTTGGCTGGGCGCGTAGACCGGACTGGGCTGCCTGCGTTCAAGGCGCCGTGGCCCCAACAACTGACGGCAAGCTAGGGCTTGGAGGGCCCGGCTGGCAGCGACAAGCGGCTCTCGCACCTCACACTTCCTTTCGAGACCGCGACTTGCTCCCAGCCTTGACTCCTTCAGCTCGTGCCTTCCTTCACTCCCAGTCCGGTCCGCATGCGGGAATGTGGCTGGCGGCCATCCCTTCTGATGTGGCAACTACACTCACGCCCGACCTGACGCACCTAGCGCTGAGGCGTCGCCTGCGGCTGCGCTTGCCCATAACCGGCCGTGCGGCGCGGAAGGCCGCCATGGCTTTGGAGCCGAAGGTGCCTACGGCGACCACCACCTCGCCTGCCACCGGACCGGCTTGTTGCCAAGACGCGGGTTCGTTGTCGAGCGAGCCTGGGTGCAGGTCGCTCGCGAGGCTGTTGGCTGGCTGTTGGCCCGGAAGGTCGGGTTGTCCCGCAGCAGTGGATTGCGCGCACTACTGCGCCGCAAGTCCACGCCGACGACCGTCGCCGCCTCGACTTCGTTGTCTACGGAGCGACGACTAATGGCGAGGCTTTGTGCTGCGACACCACGCTGGTGTCCCCACTTACCCGTGCTGGTCGCCCGGTCTCGGGTGCTGACGCGCGGGCGGGAGTCGCACTTGCGTCGGCGCGACGACGCAAACTCGCGCACCCGGAGCTCACCCGTGGCGGGCCTCAACGGCTCGTTGTCCTCGCTGCTGAAGTCGGGGGGCGCTGGAGCGACGAGTGTCAGCAGTTCCTCCGTACTTTGCTCCGGCTCCGGGTCCAACGAGCCCCGCCGCCTTTGCCAGCCTCCGCAGCCCAAGGCTGGGCACGCCGCTGGTGGAGTGTGCTGTCGGTAGCCCTGTAGAGAGCCGTCGCCAGCTCTGCGCATGGAGTCTGGTCCATGCCGCCGCTGCCTGGTGCGCCTGACGTGCTTCCACTTGGCGACGTGCTTGAACTTGCGGATACGAGCGCCCCCAGTCGGCTGCCGCTCCGATAGTGCGACGCACTAGAGACAGCTGGGTAGCTTCGGCGTTGGGACAGTTCGAGCGGACGCAAAAAGGCGCGAGAAAAAAAAAAGAAAAAACAAAATAACACTATAAAAATAAAAAACCTGGACCGTCCCAAGGGCGGAAACGTGCATCGAGGCGCATTGTCAAACTGCATGGCCGCTGTCATGAAACCCGCCGTTTCCAAGGTGGTTGCATCAGTGTTGCATCTACCAGCAGATGCCGCTTTTTGTTAGCACTGCCGCGAACCTTCAAGCCGGGACAGTAGCTCCACGACAACCTAAGCCCAGAGAGTTCAAGCTCAACCATTTCAACACCAGGTGGTTGAAATGCAGCGGCTAATCATGTTGAGAGTCTCAAAGTTGAGAGTGATTGCAAGCGAACCTGAACACCAATCCTGTCCTCGTTACGCGTTTGAGTATTCGGGTTACGTGCCGTGTCGTCTGTCGAACTTTAGGGTTCAGCACCGCATGGCATTCAAGGAATGTTCAGCTTTATTTTCGGGGCCTCCACAGAGGGGAGGAGCCCACCCACCATTCAGGAAGGGCACAAAGCCGTGGAAGTGGTCATCGACGGGGAACGCCTCAAAGTTGATGTAGATGTGTTGGCAGAATTCTCCGGGTTATTCCTCCAAGTGCAAGTCACTGATCAAAGGGAATGTCCGTTGTTGGATTTTCCTGGTGGTTTAGAGCGATTCCGGGACATCGTTGGGTTCCTGGTGGATCAAGAGCCACTGGCGGTGACAGAGGAAACGGTCCTGGATCTGATGGAAGCGACTTGGCTGTTGGAATGCCCACGACTGCTCGAGGATGTCATGGAGTCGGCCTATGCCAAATCCCTCTCCTCCAGAAGGCGAGCCGAGATCTTGGAACATATTTTGCCATACACGGCTGCGAGCAGCCCGGCGGATTCAGAGCATGCCGCAGAGTTGCTGGCTTCCATGCCGAATGAGACTGACGTCCTGGGCAATTGGACGGAACATGGAATGGTGAGTTCTATGTCCCCGTCTGTGACTCCAGCTTTGGCTTGCGGTCAGTTTCTGCGATTGTTCCACTTCGAAACGCTTATGTGGCAGACAACAGAGCGTGCAGCAATCAAGCTTGCCTCGCAGTTAGATTCAGGTGATTTCATTCTTGGACCGCGGCTGGCAACTGGTAGCTTGCGGGTATGTGCTGAGTTGCTCCGCCTGCAGCGTTTGCGGGAGGAAGAATCTGGCTTCGTGACAACAGCCATGCAGCCGGTCAGCGCCCTCTGGAAGCGACTCGGCTTGCAACTCCTGTTATCCGGATGCTGAACAGGGACGCGTCCGAAAGTTTTTGTTGTTCCAGGCAGGTGGTTGGATGGATGCTGTTCAAAAAGATGCGTCCCTTTTGTCCAGACACGTGTTGATAGATTAGGCACGTCGGCTCTTGTTAACGGATAGCGGATTGCTTAGGAACCTCATGGACAAGCCACTGCGGGCCAAAGTGTCATGGGACTCGCATCTTTTTGCATTGCGGTGCATGCGGCGCCGCTTGGCCGCAGCAGCACCTCCTTCTATGGCAGCTCGCACCAGTGCTGAGATGGCCGGGGAGTTAAAGGAAGATGAGGAAGCCCAGAAGGACTTGCCCACTGAGCTCTGTGAGGCGGCGCAGGACTCCACACTTATTTGCTTTGTGGAGCTGGTTGCTTTCGTCGACGTTGAAAGGTTGTATCCAAACTGGTCAGCTTTATTGATACGGACTCTGCTGCTTCTGGACGGTCCTTCGGAAACTGGGAGCCATTCCAGCCTCGCCCGGAAATTGTTCAAGGCAACTTTCGCCTCCAGCACCTTGGTGCAGCGGCTGGCCTGGTGCCCACCAGCACCGGTACCACCGGCATGGCTGGCGGATGTTGTGGCGCACCCCGATTCGTCGAAGGCCCTGCTGCGCGTTCTCGCCGGCTATCGGTCAATGGAAGCTGAGGAGTTTTGCGACTTGGTTGAACATGTCCTGCTCGCACAATTCCTTTCTTGGGACCATTGCAACCACATGATCCTCCAGAGCGAGTTGGTGAACGAGCTTGTTGGAGCATGCTTGGATGCTGGCCGAAAAGCTGCAGCTCTGCCTGGGCACACTATTCCATCTCTTGGCGAGCGACGATGTCCTGCCCACTGGGCCGGGCAACATGTGCTGTGGCGGTTGGAGCATCTTGGTCGGAGACTCTTCGATGTGTCCTTCGTGTTCCAGGAAGGCTTCCTCCCGCACCAATGGCCTGATTGCCTCGATGGAGACGGCCGGGCAATGCCAGGGCCTCTCTTGCGAGTCATGGCCGCAGAGGATGATGTGTGCTGCCCTCAGCCACAAGTCGTCGAAGTGCAGGGAACATGTCTGTGGGACGAGGGGCTCTTGACGATCCCATTGCTTCGGCCGACCATGATGGAGGGTAGGTCTGTGACTGAAAAGCCAATTTTACATTATGGCCGTCAGGTGATCATGAGACATCTTTGGTACAAGCATTCCGGAACGTACTGCGATGTTCCGAAGCTCAAAAGCCTGTGGGATCTGGCGTGCTGGTCCCTTTGCGAAGACGCTGGCTTGATTCGCCAGGCACTTGAGTATTTGAAAGGAACATACAGGGAGCTCTGCAGACCTCGAGGCAGTTGGAGTGCCGACGGCGAGGAAGCCATCTTTCAGATGTTCTTGGCCATTGACTTGTCGGTCTTGCCCATGCAGGCCTTGCAGTCTCCGTGGGTGCCGGTGCAGGTGCAGACCGTACGTTTGTTTGTGCAGCAAAAGCCAGCGGACCAGTTCCACGAGGAACTGCAGCAAGAGTTTGGCAGAGCCACTGAGCACTTGAAATCCATTGATTTGCAGTGCGCAAAGCTTAGTGAGAAGCTAAACGTTGTAGAGCAGAGAACTGTGATGAACAAGAGCCAGATCAGCGAATCGAGTATCGCTCTTGAAGAGCATCAGCGCCGCAAGCGCGAGGTATCAAAGTAGCCCGCGGCAGCAATCGCTTTCACCTCTCCAGGCGAAAAAGCCGTTCGCCACATGTCTCGTGCCATGGATCGATATCCACATCTGCATGTCTGAGAGCTTGCAGCCGTGCTCATGCTAGCTGTGGAGTAGAGGCCACTGTTTTGTTTCTGCAAACAAACCTTCACTGGCCAGTGGAGCAGAGCTGCAGAGCTGCAGAGCTGCAGAGCATCAGATTCAGTATACGGAGCTTTAGCCTTGGCACTGTAGCCACAGTTTCGCCAGGAATCTCGTGGTTTGGACCAAGGACCAGTAAGAACCCCAAATGCCTCAAGCGAGGAATGCTGGAAGCCATGCAGTTTTCCCAGTGCCTTTGCAGTGCCTCGTGCCTTGCAAGCACGAGTTTGAGCCCCTTTCTGTACCCGTCGCGGAGCTGAACTGTTAAGGCCATTGCGGCGGCCAGCGTTGCTTTCAGGGAGGTCTCACAGGCGCTGGAACGAGAGAGTGGCTGAGTGGCATGCATGGAGGAGAAACGCACGGCACATGCCTTCTCAGGGATGGTTGTATCCACACCTCCATTTCGGTCGCCGGGCCCTCGATGCAAAGTATGCAAAGAAGCTTAGGCCCAGGCTCCTCGTGAGTCGCCTTAGGACCAACGTCCCTGTCCCGTGCGACTCGCAAGCCCAGCGCTGGCTTCGTCCGCTCTTCGCGAAGAGCTTCGCAGCAGGTCGAACAATCAAGCGGACGCTCAGCTCTGCATGCCTCCTGCTGTCTCCGTCGCTATGTGCGAGGACTCTGCGCCGAACTTGTGGCGAGAGGCACCGGGCTTCTTGAGTGATTGTGTTTATCGTGATTGTCAGTCTTTCGATGGCGGGCGAGGCACCGGAGGAAGCGTTAAAAGACGCTTTGGCGGAAGCTGACGCCAAGTGGCTCCTCCTTCAAACCGAGGCGGGGCAGCATCGCATGTGGCAACGCTGCGCCGCCTTCTGCTTGTCCCCTGCAGGCAGATGCCACCTCGACTGACAGCCACTCGGCCCTCCGCCAAAGACAGGAGAGCTCAGACAGCGTGGCTTCGAACGGCTCAAGTCTCAACTGAGGGGATCAACTGGGCCTCCCGAAGCTTGAGCCACATGTCGGTACTATTCCTCACACAGGCCCTTCCCGGTCGCCTTCGTGCGCTTTCATCAAATCATGGGAAGTCGCCTGCGCAGGCACTTACCGATGGCATAGAACGATGGAATATTTCGGGTAGGATCAAGAACTTCTCCATCCCAACTCACTTCAGCTGAGTCACACTGCGGTGAGGGCAGTAAAGGCTGGGACAGGAACCAGATGCTGCATCTTTGTCGCGACGCACAGGGGCGGGGGTGCAAACCTCAACCGCCTTCACCCCACAACTACGGGAGTTGTCTGCACTGTTTGCATCGGGGCAAATGAACCCATTTAGAAGTGGTCTTTCGAGGGCCAAGCCCGGGGAGACTTGAACCGGGAGTGCATGCATTGGAGGGCGACACCGTGCAGCCAAGAATACCAATGACGACATTCCAAATGCCCCGCAACCAGCCGAACTGAGCCAACACAGAGCACAAAGGGAGCGGACCCTCTCCATACCTTGCCTGCTTCTCGACGCGGCACCACCACGTCTGTCGTTGTACTGGACCTTGCATGATCTTTCAGTGTGGGGAACCCTGACACCATGTCCGGAAGTCGATATGTTCGACCAGATGTTGTGCACGCACCTTGAATGCGACAACATCAACCTTTTGCTCCGCCCAAGAGCCCAGCAAACGGGCGGGCTACTTGACATTCGCGCTAAGCGTGAGAGAAGAAGAAGAGAGCGAGTGACACCCCCGACCCAAAAGCCGGCTGGTCTTGTTGATGTCTTCGGTGCGTGCTGCAACTGTGACTTGCCCAGGGGGTGCCGCTGAGCAGGCAAGGGGCTTCTGCCTGCGCTTTCTTCGCCCATGTCCTATGTGTGTGATCCGAAGAAGTCTTTTTCTGGGTCTCAAGTTTCATTTCGCTGCCTGCCGCTTCTGCAGCGCTGCTGGAGAGCAGCCGCGCTCATGGCAGCCAGTGCCCTAGACAGGCCGGGATGCTGGAGAGAGCGGAAATGCGAGTTCCGATTCGGCTAACGAATTCGCTTGTCGAGTTCTGCAGCCCTTTCATCGTGAGGCTGCGCCCATACACGATCCCCGCCGTCTACGTGGACATACCACCCCTTCGTGGTGCAGAGGAGCTTCAGTTCGATGGCCCAGGAGAGAAAGAGCCTTGCAGCTTGCAGGACGCTTTGCTTGCCTTCCTTGGGCCGGAGGTATTGCGGCTGGTCTTCAATTTTCTCTCTGAGGCAGGTTGGTGGGGGGGACAATTCTTGAATGGACACTTCAGACTGGCAGATGCAAAGCAGCGAGGTCGAGCAGCTGTCGAGTGCCGGCAGAGCCTTCTGGCAGGCTGTGCTTTTCTTGCCTACAGTAAGCATGTGCAATCGCAGGAAGGCTCTGTGGTACGAGTATCATTATCATATAGTTTGACGTCATAGTCGACCACATATGTCCAGGCGGAGCTGTACCTGCGAGAGTTGGATGCCGTCGCCGGCGACACGGAGGCGCGTGCCGCCCTTTCTCAGTCCCAAGAGCTCCTTGGTCCTTGAGCCGAAACGAGGTGAAGGAGGCAGCGGCGGAGGCACAGGAGAAGGTGGAGGCTGAGCCAGTGCCGAGCTCGGTGATGGCGTAGGCAATGAGAGGCAAAATCCAAACGCCAAATTAAAGTTTCGTTTCGAAAAGTCGCTGCTAGAACTTACCAAACGGGCGCCAGCACTCGTTCATATGATCCGTGCAGTTCCTGTGCTGGGTCAGCTTTATCACGAAAGCATTCCGAGAGTCAGAGTCTGAGACTGCACACTGAGGAAAAAGTCATGTCGAAGATCAGGTTGAAGTTAATCGATTCTTTCGTTTATCGTGTTTGTGCCATTGACATTTGCATGTTTGGCACCTTCGTGCACAGGGTGTCATAACCACGGAGCCGCGAGTCCGATCAGAGCTGAGGAGGAGATGCAGAAGGCGCTGCGAGGGAGCGCTCGGGCCTTAGACCTGTGCTTGCTGTGCTTGCTGTCTGCTTTTTGCTCTCTCTGTCGCAGTGGGAGGATTCTCCTTCCACGGCTACCCCCGCTTCTGAGGTCCTGCTTGCACGGCAAAACTACATCTCGGCGGCTCGCTTTGGCTACTTCCTGCGCAGGGGGCTGCAACGCTGGGGGCTGAGCACGGCAAAGTAGTTCTCGCCCCGACGTACGGATTGGCGGGAAGCTCGCAAACCATCGCAAACCGCAAGCCGCGCCGAAAACGAAAGCCACTCTGGGCGTAGTCGAATTTCAAAGTGGTGATTTGGGCTGAGCGTCTCGAACGACGAAATATCCCCAAAACAATCGCAACTCGTCAAGAGAAGATCCTTTGCATCATCTGCCTTCTAAGCTTGGCTATGCTCTGCTAATGTGCAACCTTTGGCTGGCATTGCGTGGCACAGTGCTGCTGACTGCCGTGGCCGACCCTGTGTAGGCCTGGAGCTAGAAAAGTCTTTGGGCCAAGGCGAAGGGGGAGCACGTGTCGTGATGCGGCTTTTCGCAGCTCTGTTGCGCCATGTGCGGAGGTTCGGCAACAAGCCTGTCCGATTGGATGGAGCAGGGCCCTCTGAGATCTCTCTTCCGTGCAGTTTGCAGCCTGCTGCTGGGAAGTGATTTTTGGAGGAGGCTCGCAGCTGCGGATGCAGTGGAGCTGGCGCGGGCGGCCTGCATCTCGGTCCTTGGGCCATTGGGACCTCCCAAGACAGGGTTCTTGCTTGTGCTTGTAGCCGCTGGTAGCCGCGTAGAGTCGTAGAGGCCACACGGGAAGCCCAGAGAGCTGTGCAACATCAAGCCACTGAGCTTTTCGGCAGCGAGGCGGAAGAGTGCGTACTCGTTTGTAGACAGCTTTGCAGTGTTGCGGCCTTGTGGCTCGTGGACTTATCGAGAGGTCAAGCTCATGAGGCAGCTGGACTACGGGCCCAAGGCCGTGGACCAGCTGCAGCTCTCAGGCCTTGAGCGGCAGCAAAGACAGGAAGGACTTCGCAGCAGAAGTCTTGCTTTCTTGCTGCCGTATGTAGGCGAGGGTCTACGCCGACTGAAGTTGGAGGCGAGGCTCCAAAACCTGAGTCTTTTGCTTCTTTTCAGCTGCTTCAACACTTCGGGACACCGGGAGGCAGCGGCCTTTGGAGCTGCTCTCTTCGATGCGGAGGCTGCTGCGGCAAGGCGCTACAAGTCGCTACCTCAGATGGAGTCAACGACATGCATTGCCGGGGGCACCCGAGCGCTGGATTTGTTTGCCATGCAGCGTATGATTCATCTCAGGGGCCACAACTCATTTCCTGGTTCAGGTTCCGGGTCCTTCGAAAACCGCCGGTTTTGCGTGTGGCTTTCCAAGCTTCAAGGGTTAGTTGACTTGCGAGGATGAGTTTGCACAAATGGGCGCAAACACACCTCTTCGCCTTGGCACTCACTTTCCGGAGACCTCTGGGCGACGATCTGGGTCCTTGGGGTCCATGGGCTCAGACAGAAGGCGAGGAATGGCGGTCCAGGCATCTCTGCTGGGGCGGTGTGTCCCCGCCCGCACATGCGCTGGGGACAGTCTTTGAAGTGCCTGCGGAGGAGATCAGCTGTGAGTTTCGCAACATCTGCTACCGCCCCGGAAGTGAGGAGTTCATTTATTCCGAGGACGAGGAGATGCGACCGCCCCCAGTCAGCATTTGGAGCGGTAGCGCCGAGACAAACTTTGGCGGCTACGACCCTCCCCGCAAGATCCTGCCCATACGGGTGGAGAAGGAGAGCATGGAGTCAGAAAGGCCGCGCCGTGTGCTGACGGTGCCGACATACGTGATCCTTCGCGGCGACAGCTCCAACTGGGGACACATGATCAACGAGATGATGCTACCACTGACTGTGCTCATTTCACAAACCGAGGGCGATATCAGGGGCGAGACAAACGGCCGCGTGGTCTTCTTCCTTGATGACTGCGACCCGCTGAGCATCTACAACAGCCCTCCAGCCATGCCCAAGATCATCAATAACACACAGAGGCGGAACTGCGAGCGCATCAGCGACATGCTAATCTCAATAGTCTCCGACTGGCCCTGGCTCGATCTGGAGCGCCTGGGTATGGAGGAACTGTGCTTCTCACGACTGGTTGCAGGTTCTGGTCGCTTCGGCCTCTTTTCCGGTTATGGCAAAGATGGGAAGTTGAGTGGTTTGCATCACGACGTGATCGCCAGCGGCCTCTTCGGCACCCACATGCGCCTTTTGCGGGATTGGGCCTACTCCCGACTTCTCGGAACCACCGCAGGCAGCGCACGAAGCCGGGCCGGCGGAGCGGCTCTAGGCTTCGCTTTGAAACCCAAAGGAGTCCGCAGAGCCGTGGCGAACGGAGAGGAAGTGAAAGTTTGGCTTCGGGACTGGGCAGAGACGAAGAATCTCGAGTACCTGGAGTTGCGGCTTTGGACCCTCAGCCTTGAGCAGCAGTTGCAGGTCCTGCAGAGAATGCACGTCTGGGTGACGCACGGGGGATCCACGCATACCGCCAGCAGCATCTTCCTGCCGGATTGGGCCAGCGTCGTTGTGATACCTCAGTGTGGCGGGTGCAAGCCAACGGAAGACATCCAACAAGAGTGCAGCGAAGACAGTCTGTATTCAAGACCCTGCTCTGTTGAAGAAATGACCTTTGACCATGTGTGGCCACGCCCGTTGCTGAAGATCCTTTGGTATCCGGCAAGTTTGCAGGACACGAAAGAGCGTGTCGGGCACCTGGATTTGAAGATGCGCCACGAGCTGCTGATGGCAGTGCTGGAGAAGGCAACTTTGGGGCAGTAGCTCAAGGCCGTCAGAGGCAGACTGGGTCCATCTGCGTGCCCAGATTGACCCCCCCACTTTCCCTACTGCGGAGCCGACTTAGCAACATCATCATCACCGGTATCGGCTACCCTCGCGGCTGCTTGGAGAGAGCTAGTACATGTCCTGTTCTATTTGTCGGCGCAAGCTCTTCGAGCACACCGAGCAGTGCGGCGGTCTTCGCCCAAGAGCTCGGGCCCCTCAGCCAAGCCACGAATGCTTGCAGACTTGACAGCAAGATGAGAAGGGCCGGCATGTCTGGTGCTCAGAAAAGTATGAGAATGAGAAGCACGTGATGGCCCTAATCAGGATTTCCCTCACGGGAGTGCTTTTTCATGACGAACTCTCCCTCATACTGAACGAATCCCGTCGCTTCCGCGAGCTCAGTCCCCACAGGCCCACACCCTCCGATCTGTCAGTAGGAATGAAGCTATCGATGATCTCAGGTTTATGGATTAGGATCTTGACGGAAACCGGGAACAACAAGCCGGTGAATTTCGTGCGGAGGTGCACAGCTACGGTACCCAAGACAACTTGAGGATCTCATGGACATAACTTGCTAATATCCAAGCCCCAGCCGCGCTAGCCCTAACTCAGCCGCCGGGAATCCAAGAGTGCGAAGGGAGAAAAGCACCAAGCATGAGGACTTTCGGCATGTCAGCGCGGGTAGCGCCAGCATTCTACTCTGTCTCGTGATTGACCAAGCGCCTGAGCAAGCAAGGTACGACACTTAACCCGTGGGCTCTGCTGGGCTTAGCCCCTACCTCATGCCCGAACAAATGCCTGGCCTGTCCAGCATATTCGTGTTGAGATGCGAGAATCTGCTAGAAGCCGCTAGAAATGGTCACAGTTTCGAGTTCCGAGTGAGTCAGTGCACATACAGGATCATGAGTCGTTCAAGAAACCCCTTTTCTGATTGTGCGGAGGGGCTCAGCATGGTCAGTGTAACCCGAAATCACTGGTAGCCTTCATTAAAGTGGGATTCCTTGCGCCAGGCTTGACTACACAGCTCCCGGGAGCCGCGCTGAGGGACTACTGGGCTGAAGCAGCGATGCTTCGCTCGTGCTCTTGCTGTGAAACAGTGCAGCCTCGGCTTGCTGACGCCGAACACGCCGAACGCGGCCTGTGGGTGCCTACGTGCATGGTCGGCAGCCTGTTAGTGCATGGATTGCCACATGGCATGCTTCTTCCGGCGTCGATCTCTTGGCTTTGTGTAGTACATAGACCAAGACCCGGTACATGAACAGCAGGCAAGATTGGATAGTAGCTGCTATGTGCAGATGCGTACACAGGGGTCTTGGAGATTGGGCTTATTGCATGCGGGGAACAGCCGGACTTGGCTGAGTCGCCGATGACCCTACACATGCTTGACTCCCACGCGCCCTCTAAGGGTTTCACGCATTCCAGCAGCAGGTTGTTGCAGGTTGCGAGCATGTGGGATTTTGTATTTCGATCTCCATCCGGGATGTGCTGGACGCCGAGCTCATGGACGATGCCAGAGCACCAGAACCGGATGGCACCGCGGACCCTTGGCAGCAGACATGCGAGTTCGGAATTCAGTCCCTTGTTTGCTAGCTGAGCCGCCCGAGAACTGAAAACTGAATGCCGATGTTCAACTTCAACAGAGCCGAGCCCGGGAATTACTCGTTGCATGTATTCATGTTTTTGAGGTATCACTATATATGTGTGTCTAACATCGTGTTACCTTCGAGATACGCCTTTTCTCCAAAAGGGACGATAGGTCAGTCTCACTTTCTTGGCCTGCCGTTTTGTGCTGACTTCTGCGAAGACTGCCAGGTGGCGGAGCCCCTCGAGCCACTTCAGCGTGGAGAGGCTCGTTTGCTTGCGCCCCTGGAGTTTCAGCCTCGAAACTGCAAGAAGGACTGCGGATTTGCATCCGATGCGTGCTGCAGGCTGTCGTTTTTGGGGAAGGTCGGCAAGGTGTCATCACGCGGGAAGCTGCCCCAGACGACTAGCGGACATGTGAGTCCCATGCCACGTCAGTCTTTCGTCAGTGTTTAGTCCTGCTGGATAGAGAGCCATTGGACTGATTCCCGAGGCCTATGTTTTAGAGGACAAGTATGCTATCAGAGCAGACGGTGCAGCCAGAGAGGCATGCGATGGAGGGCTGTGGTTTCTGTGCCGATCAGTCCTCTCCTGTGCCCATGGACCAGGTCAAAGGGCCCAATAACAGCTTCTTCTACTTCAAGCGCTTTTGCCTCGGATGCCAATCCTGTTTCCGATCACTGTCATCGAGACTGAAGTTTGAAAGAGGTCAAGACCTGCAACGTGTCCGCGGCCCAGAGCTTCAAAGCCTAAAGCCTGCGACTATGACTAGGCTCCCATCAGGATCCGGGCCTTGGCCATAAGGTTTTACCGCTGAACGGAGGTGCGGAGCAGTTTGCCGAGCTCGAAACCAACGGCGAGCCGTGGGCCCCGGGTCGCGCCAAGTCGGCCAGGGCTGCTCGGGTGCTCGGGCGGAGCCCAGGCCTCCCGAGAAGAAGCCGCGGTTGGAGCCCAGCGAGGCAAGAAGCGGCAGCGGCATCAGCGGCAGAGCAGAAGAGAAGGAGGTCAACAGAGGCGAGTGCATGTCTCCACTCACAGGCACCCTTGGCGGCGCCAACTGGCAGCAAGCTCAGCATTGTGTTTCAAGAGCTCTGACTGTTGTTTTGCATGATCCCTTGTGTCCGGTCCGCCGGGGTCTCTTTCTCGAGCCACGTCCCTCGAAATGCCGCTCCGGGCTCCGATGGCGTTGGGGGCATTGTGGAAGCTCGCGGGTTCTGTTCGGGCGCATCGGTTGTGAACGCCTTGCGGCTGGAGAATGAGCTCCACGGAGCACTTGGCAGCGGCCCGAGCCGCGGCGGCAAAGATGGCAGCAAGAGCCGTGCTGGCTGGCAGGTCAGCAGCTGCTGCTGCACGCAGCGGCGGTCTCCTCAGGCAGACATCCTCCAGCTTCCGCAACGACGTGGCTAACCGAGCCATGGCTGTTGCAGCCCTGCGGGCTGCGCCCAAGCCAAGGGCTGAAACTCTCAGCGGAGGGCTGGATCCTTCCACGACAGAAACGCATGCAGATGTTGCGGGCGAATCGCGACTCACTGGCACCTGCACTGCCCGGCAGCTCGAAAGGACGCATCCACAGCAAGGCAATGACCCCACTGCGGCGGACTCTGAACGGGATGATGCGCGTATCTGCGAATGGGACATCAAGGTCCAGCGCACCTTCATCACGGTGGTACCCCGCTGTCCGCAGCTCACCCACACAGCCGCTCGCCTGCGTGTTACGCCACGGACATGGTTGCTGCCGCTGCTACTAGTTACTAATAACGGCTAACGGCCAACGGCCAAGGGAGCTGGTATTCTTCCTCGCTGCCACTACTGCTGCTGCTAATACTGATCTGCACTGGTTCCGCTCCCTGTAGTCCAACCGGTCCAACCGCCATGTCACAGCGTCGTCTACGAGTCTACATGCTTCTGCTTCCACTCTGCTGCGAGTTTCGATTCCTTCACTTCTTTGCTGCTGCGAGCTGCAAAGGTATGGTTTGAAGATGTTTGATGCCTGCAGCCTCTTCCGGGATGCAAGGGTTCCGGAATAAATCTTGGGTCATTGCCACCATCATTGGTTGAAGCTTATGCACATAGTGTTATTCCTGCAGGTGCAAGTTCAGAGTTCACGCATCTCAGGCAAGCGCCCCGGCTCGTCTGGACCGCCCGCGCCCACGGAGGCGGCGCCTGCGGCCAAGCCGGAGGCGACGCTGACACGGCGGTCTACGGCATGGACCTTTGGACCTTTTGTATCACATGCACCACTCACCTTGCCGGTGCTGCTAAGCTATTAGCTTCGGCCCACCGATCCACATGCTACTTTAAACCGTGCGGTTACACAGTTCTCCAAGAGGCAGAGAGGTGCATCCTCCATCGAGGTTTCACCAATGTACATAACGGCTGAGGATTGCTTGAGATTCTTGTTATGCTCGTCTGGGGAATTCATCATTGGGTTGCAGTAGCATCCCGCAAACGCCGCCCGCAAAAGGGGAATGTCGATAGTCCCCAGACGTTTTGGTTCGAGGCATGCAGGGAACTTGCACAAGCTCCGAGGTCCCCCGCGCTTCGAAGGCCGCGTGAAGTGGTTCAGCCGGCTGCTGAGGCTTCGGATTCTTGAAGGCGATCGAACGAATGCCCCGTCCCAGGCAAAGAGAAAGGCTTTGGCAAGATCCTGCCGAGTACTTCTGCTGGCCAGATGGTGGACGAGGCAAACGAATGCGAAACTGTCTAAGAGTCTAAGAGCCTCAAACCCATTCCTCTGCCCTGACAGGTGTTCGTCCACAAGAGCCGATTTGAGGGAGGACCCGAGGGCCCACATGCGCAGGCTGGGATCCTTTTTGGATCCTGTCCCGTTCTGAAATCCCACTCCTGGGGCAGGCAGTGTCCGAGGGGGCCGCGGTCACCTACGAAGTGATCACTTCCCAAGTTGATGGGAAGCCAACAGCTTGCAACGTGCAGGTTGGGCCCTGCTTTGCCGCCTTAGCTAAGCTTGCGTGGCTTCATGTGCACCCATGCATCAATCGCGCACTGCACTCGCAGCCAGCGGCTGGTTCGGACAATGCGAAGCTTAGTTCTCATGTTAGGCTGCAGCTTGTTGTTAGTCTTGTGGCCAACACGTCCGAAGCATCTCTCGACTCACTAGTCATGGCTTTTGACGAAGCAACAGCAGCACAGCAAAGCCGGCATGAGATGTTCAGAGTTTCATGTTCGGCCGCTTCAAACAGAAGAGTCATTTGCCCAGCCAATACGGTGCATGTCAGTTTCCAGCTGCGATGAGGCCAGAGCATTGTGCAGCAAGACTGGAGACAGACGGGATTGGAAGTATGTGATTGAAACTCGAAGGACTCCGCGCAGGAAGAACCGATCACGGGAATGAAGCTATTGCTCAGTGAAGAGGCGTTTGGGGCCTTGAAGAGACTGCAGGCCGGACAGATGGGGGTGTCCTGAATGAATAGAACTGTGGAGCTCGCCGGCTGAGGATCGCAGGACCAGCTCCAGTGCTTCTTCCAGCTCCACGGAGCCATCGGCTTCCACAGATCTGCCATCCTCCCCAGAGGCACGGGAGCCTTCGACAGCGACAGGCTAGTACGTGCGGAGACGATTCGGGTGCGCGTGGCTGTGCCGAGGCATCAGTTCTCACAGTGGAGCAGCGGCTACATCAGCTCAGACTGGCACTAGCTGCTCCTGAGATTTTGGTGCCTTGGCTGACATGAAGCGAGTCGCGGTTGCATGCTTTTGTTCGTGGCCACTTGGCTACAGCTGATCCCGAAACAAGACAAGCCGGTGGCTGTGAAGAGCTGTTCCCAGGAGGAGCCTGACCCACGCACCGAGAGGAAACAACGAAGAAGGCTGGGCCTTGGGTGGGTCGGGCGACCCTGTTTCAGAGTTTGCACTCTTCGAATCTAAGCGAGCCTGCCGGACTCCCCGTGCATTTTGGGCCGAAGATGTAGGAAGGAGGTGCTGGGAGAATTGATGAGCCAGGCACCAAGAAAGGAGGCTGAGCCGGCAACTTCAATCAACCACATAATTGAAAGATGCGAAAGAAGTAGCCGGGTATAAAATATATGTACATACTATATGTATATATATATATATATATAATATGTGATTTACCATGGCAGCCCAGGAAAAATGTCAGCAATCTCGAGGGTCTGTCACTGCATGTGTGGTGGTGGTTGGGGGGGAGATTTTCGTTTGGAAAGCATGAGATACGACCGTACATGGTGGTCCACGCAGGATTTCAGGAACTCACAGGCATCTTCTTTCAACATTGGTTTCGCCGGAATATTCATGTCTCTGGTCAAGCTGCTTGGCCTCGGCTGCAATACTTCGAAGTTTGCAAACGTCGCTCAGGCTTGGGGCACTGTGCCATTTCCATCGGAAGATAAAGTAAAGCACATGACCACCATAGCACCGAGCCAAGTTTCACTCAGGCTCCAGCTTTTCTATCCTCATCCCCCACGCTTCGCACACCAGCTTGAAAATCTCTTTGGTCGCACGCAGCACTCGCCTGTTGCCGCTCCTTGTGTTTTGGACAGGAGGAGTGTGACGGAGGTGGTCACGATGTCCAGCTCCAGCGATGGCTCCCACACGTCATCCGACAGCAAGCCTCAGGGACAGAGCGCACTTTATGGCCTGATTGGTGCAGTCGGCCTTGTCGAAGGCGGGAGTTTCTTGGTTGGAAACCAATTTTGTCACAGCTCGACAACTTGCGCAGGAGCTGACCTTGTCGTGCTCCCGGCCCTTGCGTCCTCCTTGCAAGCCGACCTCAATCTTACCCAGGAGGACGTAGCTCTCCTGGTACTCGTGCAGGCCCACAGCCGCCGTTTTTACGTGTGGTGCACATGACTCGCTTGCTGACAGGCACTGTGTCTAGCGGCAGCTTCGCCTGTGTGGGCAGCCGCAGACTTAGACCGGGTGGCACCGGGTTAGGTTAACGGATGGATGTGTCACTCGTGCGAGGCATTGGCGGATAGTGCATCAGCCAATCGGAAGACCCTGATGGTGCTGGGGGCGTTCCTCCAGGGTCTGTTCACTTGCCTCCTTCCCACAACATCGGCGTGGGCGCCGGGCTCAAAAGAGTCTGCCAGAGTCCAGAGACATTTCTGCTTTGTCCCGCTCTGGTTCAGGCGCCCCTTGTGGCCCTCGGCGCCCTGAACGCCTTAGCCAAGGCCTCCCTCCGCCCGGTCAGCTTTGGCCTCATCGCCGAGGCCAGTGCTCAAAACTGTTGAGCGCCCTTGGAGAGCGGGTGTGCAAATGTCAGGTGACTCGCGAGTTCCGCGGATCAGCCTTCGGCGTCCTTTTCGCCGCGCTCTATGCAGGCGGGGCATTGGCAGTCCGAGAGGTTTGAGAAGATGTAACGATTGGGAACTTCCACTATCCCCAGTTGGCACCCGCAAGCATCGCCGAGGGATCGGCCTCGCATTCTGGGCCAGCCCGTGGCTCGCGACGCATCGCTTTCTGGGCATAGAGGCCCCGGGGTCTCCCGGATCACCCGTCTGCAAAGAGCCGTGCCGCGTGGACAGCCGTTGCCAGGGCTGGAGGCTCCCGGTGCTCGGCGTGGGTGTTATCGCTATCCTTACAAGCTTCATTGCAGCGGCCCCAGACTCGACTACTTTACTACTCTGCAACGAGCGAGAGTGGTGACCTTCGTTCTCGGGTCACGAAGTGTTCATTTCACTGCAGACGCAGTTGGCATGTGAGTTCCCGGGGACAATGCGGAGCCCGTTGGACTCTGCGAACTCATGCCGGTGCCATTGCAGGTTTAACCTCAGCCACGGCATGACACACGGGTCTGAATGCCCGGCCGTTGTCAGGCTTCGTTGTGCGCCGCGGACTTGTTCCGTGCGGCACAGCGATGGCCCGCCATAGGGGGCCTGCCAGCAGTCTCGTTGCGTGTTCTCAGCCGTCGCTGCATGTGTTATCTGTTCGCTGTCTTGAGTCCTGAGGGCTCGATGCCTTTCTTGCTTGTTGGTCTGCTGGTCGCAAAGCACTTGTCAGATAAGTTGATCTCCTGCTGCTAGCGATTCGGGCCGACGTGCCATAACACGACGCTATGCCGCGATCTAGACCAAGTGACCATGCCCGACGTCTTGAATCGATGCGGGTCGTTCTGTGCATTAGTTGCAGCAGCCGACAGGTCTTAGCTCAGACCATCTAGAAGCCAGTGACAAAACATCTAGAAGCCAGGTTGTTCATGTGTCTTGACGATGTTGAACGCCTGCTGAGTGTAGTACCAGTGCAGGTCGTAGATCTTCAGGCATCGGTGTAGGTAGACTCGCAGGGCTTTGGATGACGATCGAGGAGGTTTGGGAGGCGTGCCATGCCGGCTTCTTCGCCTGCTCGGATCCTTTTCATCGGCAATTCTCTGACGTACTGGTCAGGCGGTTTGGACAACATGTTCCGAAATTGGGGCTTCGATGCTCACAGCGAGACAATACCTGGTGCCACATTAGCAAAGCACTGGCGATCCGGCCAGGCCAGGGCGAAAATCCTTGAAGGCTGGGACATGATAGTTCTCCAAGATGACCTCCCCGAGTACAAGCCGTTGCCTCATGACTCAAGAGAGAGATGGCAAGTGGTATGCGAGCGCTTCGTCCCTGTCTTGGGCAAGTTTGTGGAGGCTGCACGCCTCGTTGATGCCTCTTCGATTCTTTACATGGCTCACCCGTACGAGCGATTGCCCCACACAAGTCTACGGGACATTTGCTGGGCACACAAGTGCGCAGAGGAGACCCTGGGTGTTCACATTGCCCCTGGTGGATTAGCGCACAGCCTGATCACGTCGGTCAGGCAGCTGGAAGAATTTCATTTCGCGTTGTTAGATGACGATCTGGAACACCCTTCCGAGGAAGGCTTGTATTTGCATGCCCTTACTATCGTTGCCGTCTGCTTTGGCAAGGACAAGGTGCGTGACTTGCAGTGGGCTCCCCCAACTCTTTCCGACACGTGCGTGGACATGTTCAAGCAGCTCGCCTGTGACAGCCTCGATGCTTGGCAAGCCTATCCCAGCCCACCTAGCAGCGAGGTCGCCAAGCTTGCTATCAGTGTGGCTTCGGCAGAACCGCAGCGCGAGGGCCGTGAGGGCTCCATTCTCACATGATGCCACTCGGGCTTGGCAGCAAGAGTCCGTTCGAGACTTTCAAAGCAGCAGTCTCTCCGTGGCTACTGCTTTCGCCGAAAAGTGGAAAAGGGTGAGTCGACTGTTTATCAACATCCATTGCACTGCCAGTAGACCGTACGCACTGTGACTGTGGACCGATCATGGGAAGATAACCATCAAGCCCACGGTAGTATCTTGCACAGCTTTAACGATCCTTCGAGTAGCTTGTTTCACGTAGCTTCAATGACCTGAAGTATGCCGGTGTTTCCACAGCCTGCGCAGAAAGCAAGTGGTATTTTCACGGCCAGGGAGGCAACACCAATCAAAAAGAGTTGATGTAAGATGTAGACTATTCTTGGCCGGCCTTCACCAAATACTGCAGGTATTCCCAGCTGACACGGCAGAGAGAGAGAGAGAGAGAGAGAGCTGGGAATCGACACGCCCCTTAAGCCCTGCAGCAGAAGATTCCCAGCTGTACCAGCAGGAACGGGACAGGGGCTTCCCGACAACAATAGCTCTGGCTTGGAGCGGAAGCTGTTCTGTGCACCTAAAGGTTGTTGAAGCTAGCTATGTCGGGAACCCAAACCCGTGGAATACCCATGGCCAACTAGCAAAAACGCAGGCGTGCTCGGCAAGGCGGGGAACCACAGAGCTTGAGAGAGCTTGTTGCGGTGAACAGGGGACCTGCCGAGCACCCTACAAACAAAGTCTCACACCAGACTCGGACAATGGCGTAGCGCTCGCGCGCAGGGGTAGTAATGGTAGTATAGGGGCTAACCCTGCTTCCCCAAACGCCCCGCAAGCAAGCAAGCAAGATTCCCAGCTGACCAAAATTTCTTCCGTTCACGACTTTCAGTCATGATAAGAGCCAGTCGAACAGCCACAGCCGGCAGAAGCCAGACAGCGACTTCGTTCGGCGGCTGCGCCTTGTGTATTGAAGTGCATTGACATTAGTATACGTGGCGTAAGGTCTCATTGCTGCTGCAAGAACCAGCGCGTGAGCCTCCTGCAGTGGATGAAGAGCAAGGCCCGGGGGAAGGTGTCGAAACTTTGAGGAGTGCATGCATAACGACGAAATCGACCGAAGAGTTTACATTCACTCTCGCGGCTGGATATGAGATGCTTGTTCCGTTCGTTCCAAGTGTTGAATTCTTCGATGTTCTCCAGCGGTTTGAACCTGCTATGACTATGACTTACCAGAAAGTAAGTCATGCCCTAATAAAGAGGCCTTATGCGAATCTGGAAACCGTGAAAGTCCAACCTGCGCGAGGTATCAGAGCCGAGTTCTGGCGGCTGCAGGGTTACTGCACCTCAGCTGAAGACCGAAGTTACGAGGATTCTGGCAGAATCGGTCCATTGCCATCCAAGGCAAGTTCCCTTCTTTCTTGCTCCTCTTTTTCCAAGCCTGCCCGGGGCCTTGTTGAAAGTTTCACTTGCCTTGCTGATGTGACCACAGACGCACCGAGGCATCATGTGCATACCGTGGGCGGCGATGGGATATAGGACACTCTTCCTGAAAGCGTACGGGTTTGACGAATGGGAGGCTCGAACACAGGGACGATCTCAAGCCGAAGAGTTTTGCAGCGCATGACCCCACAAGCCGAGCATGCACAGGTGACAGTTTTGTGCTCGTCGGCGCAGGCAGCGGAGTGGAAGCAGTGCTGTTGTGTTGTCGTCTTTCATTTGAAGGTTTCTTTTTGGGGATCTTAGAGGCTTAGAGGATCTTGATGCCAGGGCTCAGCTGCCCTGGGTGCCCTGTTCGGCGGAGTGCTGGCCGACCTCGTGGCCAGGCGGGGGCCTTTTTGCGGTCTTATTCTTACACCAATGCTGTGTTGACTGGAGTGTGACTGAGAAACACCACAGGTTTCTGCCCACCCACGGGCGTCCCTGTGTCGCACAGGCGGTCTCGGACCAGCAGAATACTGTGATTCTCGAAGCACCCCGTGCGCTTCACCCCTTCCCATGGGAGGCTTCTCTGGTGCTGAGCTTCCCACTCTTTATCCTGTCATTCCTCGCCTGGCACTCAACCGTTTCAAAGACAAGTCCCAGCTTGAAAGCAGAAGGAACTTGCGTTGGGAAGGTCTCGCCGCCGGAGGGATGGCCGTTCTCCTACGAGATGTGCTTGATCTGCGGATCTGCTTTTGTGGCCAGCTGGACCGTGGGGGCGCGGCGCTCGGAGCCTCCTCCAGTGAGTAGTGTAGTGAGTAGTCGCTTTCTTTCTTCTTCCAGGCCTGCCTGCCGATGCTCGCCGAGCTCGCTCCGTGGGGCCGGAGGAGCGGCATCCTGGCCTGGCAGGGAGCGTTGGAGGGCGCCGTCGGCTGCCTGGTGACGTCTTCCATGGAAGCCCCTCACCTGCGATGAAGCGAAGCCTGTGACAGAGCGGAGAGCGCTGCCGGCTGGCGTGCCGCCCCAGGTTTTAGCACCTCGCGTGTTCGGCCACAGCCTGGGGGCCAGAAGCCGAGATGCGGCCCTTGCCTTGAGAAGCCACGGACTCCTGCCCCCCCCGAGATCCTTCCTCCACTCAACGGCATCAAGATCGTCGTTTCTGAGTACGACACATCGGCACAGGACTTCCAGACCGGACTCCCAAAGCAAGCCTCGAGTAAAGCTGTACAGCTGGGCAGGATGTGACGGGTTTTAGCGATCCGGAAGACAGGGCCGGAAGCCAAGACTCCAAAGCGCGCTCGTGCCGGGAAGACGGTTTGCGGTCGATCACTGCCAAGCTGCTCAGGCACATCTGGCAAAGATCGTTGTGGTGTTGATGGCAGCCTCTTGGGGCTTGTGCTTCCTGTGCTACAGCATGCTGCAGCTGGTCCTGCACGTATATCGCAGCCTGTGAGACCGTGGCGAGGGACGTTGTGCACCCGATGATGTCACTGGAATGTAGATTGAGGCACTGGAGCTACCCCAGGGATCTGCTGCGTGCCGGGCTCTTATTTCTCATGTCCGCAACAGCAAGTGCGGGGCGGGTTAAAGTTCATGTTCACGGCTTTCCTTGAGATGCAGACATGCCCCACGACTCTGACAATCAACAGCTAGCTTTTGTGTGGAGGCACAGCACATGAGATCAGAGGAGGCTGAAAAAGCGTGTGCGCTCAGAAGCTAGTGTGCACGGATGCTTTAGGGTGTGACTCTACTCTTCTTGCTCGCTTTCTTCATGAATGTGTACTAAACTTGGTACTCTGGTTATCGGATTCAGAAGATCAGGGAAGAGGAAGTGTAGAGAGAATGCCTGCGGAACCGTAAGGCATGAAGGATGCTTCCTCGGACTAGTTTAATGCAGCGAGGATCCCTTGGTCACCGACAACATACCAAGGGAGCTTCGCTAATTCTCTGATTATTCGGACCCAGCAGGCGACCATTCTGCCGCAGCAAGCCGTATCAGCCGTAACATGTAATGGCATCTAATCAAGTTCTGCGGCAGATCAGTCTCAGTGGCTGCCGCTTGACCGCACCGCATGCGAAATCTTTTGATGTGCGGGTGACAGTCCATTTTATTCCTGGCATTCCTGCATGCCACCGTAGTCTTGGCCACAACTTTCCCGGTGGCCCGGCCGTGGCGCGGCCCAGCTAGAAAAGGGGGATCGGACAGATCTAGCAATCTTCTGGGACTGGCTCACGGGGGGCTCGCCAGGGCGAAGCCTGCAAAGGTGCACCAAGGCGAATTGCGGCTTTCGTACCTTCTCCACGGGCACCACATTTTCCAGCAGGCCTATTTTCTGCATCGCTGCAGCGAGGGACCGAGTTCTCGAATTGCCCAGGGCCAGGCCGTTTCTGCAGGACCTCGATCTGTTTAAGGTTTTCACAATAATCGCAACAGAATCGGGCCATGTCCCTTATGCCTCGTTTTATGTCTTTCCCGGCAGTGGTCGAAGTCCAGGCTTCAGCTGTATCCTAATTCCACAGGGACTCTGCGACGAGCTCCTGCGGAAAAGCGCTGGCCGCTGGCGCCTGCGAGAGCTTGCAAGAGGCTTGTGAGAGCCTTGCGAGCCTCCACGGCCACGGTCTCTCTATGCCTCTAGAGGCTGGGCCGCCCGACGTTTCGAGTGGTGTAGCTGAAGCGAAGTTTTGACTTAGTTCCCGGTGGCGGGATGAAGGACCCTTAGCTCCATGGCCGATTGCGAAAGTGCCCTGGATGCTTGCGCATGAGGTGTCTCTCCATTGATACTTGTGGAGATGTCTGGGACTGGCAGAAGCCCAGTCGCGAAAGTTCAAGCTCGGCATCAAACGATGCACGGGCACCGGCAGCGAGTGGCGCCAGATTCGATGTCACGTCATGTTCGACGATGCCCTTGTCATGGGTGCCCCTGCTGGTACCGGTACTGCCTGAAGTTCTAGTGAATGTGAATAAAAAGGGGTCGTCGATGGAAGTGGAAGTGTACGAGGCGGCGCAGGGCAGCTTCCTTGTGAGGACTGGTGCTCTGAGAGCCCCGAGAAGAAGATCTCCTGGTCTTGTCTTCACCCATTTGCTCCCATAGCTTTTTGCTTCCTCACGCAGCCCACCGCTGCGCTATTGCGGCCCTGCCGTGGGGAGATGCACTTAATTGGCAGACATGGAGAACGTGGACCTGAGAAGATGCTGTTGTCCAATCTCTGCTGGGGCTGGCACAATGGTGTCGCCCCATTTAATCACGTAGCAGAAGCAAGCGCTTCGTTTGGAGTGTTCCATCACCCAAGTCTCGTTAAAAGAGAGCACGAGCCATTAGCCAAGATGAGTGCGAGCTTGTGAGAAGTACAGCAACTAGGTTGGCTTTGCCGTTGTCTTATGTGGCGCAGGTTGCAGGGGTGCGATCTGCAACTGTACCCGACAAGCATGCAGGCCGCGCGATCGCCTGGGTTCGGAGTGGTTCTGCATAGTACCCGGGCACAGGCCAGAAGGACGCACTCATCCGTAAGCTGCTGCGCGCTTCTCAGTCCCAGACTCTTCGGTAGGTGGATGCTGCCCGCTTCAAGATTTCAACAAATCTCAATGTGTTGCGCTGCCCATCGAAGCTGTACCGCCGCACTTTGTCCAAGCTCGCCACCGGCCATGGATGGCGCTTGGAACTGTCGAGGAGGTTGCGTCCTCGACTTCTCCAAGCTGTGATGCATGGGGGCAGCGGGTTCCGCATCCAAGCGCTATAAGCCGAAAGGCGAGGACTCCCCCAAACCAGGCCCATGGCATTTGCCACAAGGCGGCTGCGTGGTTAGTGTTGTGGACTTTGATCCGGGGAGCATCCGGTGGCCAGAGACTTGGGGAGTTCCCCTGCCTCTAGAGAAGAGCATGGCCATTGTGGTCCTAAAGGACGATGGTGGTGAGCGGGCTTTCGGTCACTACCTGGCTCAACCACAGCGCCGAGGTTTCTTCTTGAAGCACTTGACCACCGTGCTGGAAGCGTCTCCGGAGAAACTCAAGCTTGCTTCTGTTGGCCGAGAGGGTGTTGACGATGAGGGCTGTCACAAGGGCCCACCTGCACCTGTGGCCAAGAGGCTGCAACCTCAGCCATCTCCCCCAAGTTTCCCCTCCACCCCGAGTGGACCGAGTTCCAGTGCTCTGAGCACACGAACCCCGGATGACAGTCCCGAGTTTCTCAGCTTGAGAGCGAGGCCCGGTGTCACAGAGAACAGACCCATGGCAGCCACCAGGCCGTCTTCAAAGCCAGTTGCTTCGGCAGAGAACCGAGCAACTGGAGCTCAGCCAGAGCCACTCAGCCAGACGGTCCAACGGCCGGAAGCCCTGAAGAGACCCGAGGTACTGATGGCCGCCGAGCAAATGGGATTGAACCTCGTGATCGACGACGTGCTCCTTTGGCTGGCAGAGAGTGCAGCCGACGCAGCTTTGCCAGAAGGCTGGGTAACATTCGGCGATAATGAGGGGCACCCCGTGTATTACCACGAGAAGAAGAGGCTAGTCACGAGACAACACCCCACGCGTGCGAGGTACAAGAGCTTTGCGCTTCGATTGCGGGGTTTGTACCAGAGGATGTCTGAGACACAGGCATTGCATGGTGCAGCGAAGATACGGGCACATCTCGCAGTTGTTTTGAACGAGGCCTTAAACCGGTGCAATCGGGAGTTGCCACCCGTCACGCCCGAGCTGCTCGAACGAGCCACACTTCTTCTCGGGGTTGATACGAGCTCGGAGTTTGCACTGAGCACAAAGGCGACACAGCTGCACCACAATGTGTCAGCAGCCGGGCTTCTGCCTGATCTAGTAAACCAGTAGCTGCGAGTTCCTTTGAAGGTGAAGACGGCTATCGACTGGTTTGTGGAGGAGCAATACGACATCTCACTAGCCACAGGTGTCAAGGCCGATATCGATGCCTTCATCGCACATCTTCGCTACGAGCAGATCCAAGACATGATGTCCCAGCCAGACGGGATCATCATGTGCTCGGAGCTTGATGGCATGCCTGCAGCGGTCAAGTGCGAGGAGTGGTGCTTCGGTCCTCTTTCGCTGAAGCTGTTGCATTCGTGTCAGGCGGCCTTTCCACTTTTTTACGTAGTCTCAAGGAGTGCATGGACTTCTTCAGCATGGAGGGATTTGCTCGGTGCCACTCTTCCGGAAAACGCCGTCAGCACCGTCCACTCAAAGTGGAGCAGCCGCTTTGTCTGCGTGTTTCTTTTCAAGCACCTTCGATGTCTTTTGTGCGAAGCCTCAAGTTCGCATTTCTCTGAACCAACCCTAGGTGTGCATGCTCGGTTTTTCCGCAGGAGTCCGCGACGTGTGAGGCATTGGGGTTGGGCACATGTCGTGGTTGGTGACTTTGTCTAGTCTAGCATGGGAGTAACACAGCCGTTGCTGAAGCGCAAGCATGTGCAAGCAGTGTCACTGTGGGAGCCTGGCGGTGGGAAGCTGAAGGCGAATGGCCAATTCTTCTCCGACCGCGGCTATCGCGAAGCCATGAAACGCAATCCAAGCTTGGGCCTGAAACACTGTCGGTTCTTGGGCGGCATTTCCTGCTCAGAATATCCCGAGCCTTGACGCAATTCGAAATTCGGTTCCTTTTACTTTGCTGTTTGCGGCCGCGTTCCGAACATGACTGTGATTGACTATGGCTTCGGCCTTGACAGGACAAGAAAGCCGAAGTGCTGTGTGAGGACTGTTGTGCCTGAGCTGCTTCGACAGTTCGTAGATAAGCATTTACCCGAAATTCGGAAGTTGGGCCAAACCGTGAGACGACAAAATTTCATGACTCAGGCGACTTCTTCTGCATCGAGGCGTTCTGGGAACGCCATGGCCACGGTCACCGGCAGCAGCACGTTCAGCTCGCAATAGATGCAGAGAACCACTTGTGGCGGATGGGGCAGAAGCTTCCGCAGGAAGAGGCGCGAGTTGACAGGTTCGTTCATTCGCCCAGCTGTGCTTCTCAGAACTTCACATCTGAAAAGAATCGGCACAAAACCACCCAGGAGGCCTGTTTATTCCCCCGGAACCCAAGGAGCAGCAATTCATTCATGCGTACAGTTTAGAATTACTTCCGGTCGAGGGGCAATTTGCTGCATCAAACACTGCTGATGAGGAGGCGCACGGTGCATGTGCAGCCTTTGAGCACCTTTGAGTATTGAGCTCCTGAAACAATTATCTCGACCAGTTGCTGGACAAGTTGCCGGACAATCTTCACAACAGACGAGGTAGAATTGAATGGAGTGTCAACTGGCACCCTGCTTGTCGAATTGCTCCTCCATGCAGGAGGCAAGACAACCCAACGAGCACTAGTGAATCTGGTGCTTTAGTTGCACAACAAACGGAGCAAGCCGTACAGTGGTGGCCAGGTTGTAAAATTAGGTAAAGGCTCGCATGATTGAAGCCACAATAGCGGGATGTCTAGCAAATCCTGTTGTTCTAGCGCGAGTGACATTGAGCACGCCGCAAAGAAATAGAAAGCAACTCCGACCCTACGGGGGCTTCCAGACCTACGCCTAGCAACGCTGCCAGAGTCGCACGACGAGCCGCGCCAAATTGTATCCGAGTTGAATTTCCGAGTTGGCCAAGCACCAAAGCTAGCATCCGTCACAAGTCAACGAGGCGTTCTGTTGGGCAAACTGCGCGCTGCCGCTTCAGCTTTCAGTCTCGCAAGGCCAGCCGTATTCTGCATAGAGCACGACGTGCTCGTGAGGGTGGGCCGTGGCTGGCATTCCGCGACGACCAGCTGACTACGTATTGGTACCATTTGCACGACAAAGTCGTCACTCATGATAACCCCTACCTGCAGGCTTCCACTCGCGAAGCTCCGCTTTTCATGCCTGCAGACGGTCATCAGGTCGAGAAAGACACTCTTGCTTGCTGCCAGCACTTTGCAAGGCTGCAGAAGAGACAGCGGAGAGAGTGACGAGGGACAGAAATCGGTGCCCAAGAGATGGATGCACGAGGTGGATTACAAGTTTTAACAAGATCGGTAGTTCCTTCACAAGGATCAACGGCATGCAGATCGGCACCTTCCAGGCCAACTGCTGCGAATGTGGTTCGCAGGAGGTTCGGGAAGAGTGTACCGTAAGAACTCGTACAGGAGAAGGGCGTCGGCAAGCCTCATATGGAGGACCTTGGCGTGCCGAACGACCTGGCGCATGTTTGCTATTCGTATTATTTTTCATAGCCTGGCAAGGATCGGATGATTATTCGTAGCGGCATTCCTGTCGAGTCAGTGGGTCGGTGGCTCATGCTCGGGATCGGGTAGTGCCTCAATCGCATCATGGCGACAGGTGCCGGCTGCAAGAAGATCGTCGCTTCCTTGTTCGGCGTTTTCGACGGTCACTCTGGCCGCCTACTTGCAGCCAGAAGTAGAGCCACATCTCCGCGCAGTCTGATGGAGAGCGGTCAGGTGCATCTTGTAGTGACTTCGTTGCGACGAATCTGGACCGTGTCGCGCGCGGCTAAGCCGTTGAATGCACGTCCATGCTCGCTGCAAGTGGCGGTCTAAGCCAGTAGCCACTGCCAGTAGTCCATTTTTGGGGGTCGCTTGTTTCTGCATGTTCTGGTGAGGGTTCCTGTTGCCCTTGTGACGGTGCAAGTCCTGCCCTGCATGAAGAACTCAGGTGTTCGAATGCATCCGGCATCAAAACAAGCGAGAGGCTCGCATAGCGTCGGTGCAAGTTGTGTCACGGAGGGTGGCGGGGCGGGGGGGGGCAGGGCGGACCAAGAAATGGACCCGTGATTGTTGGAAGGTGAACAGTGATTTGGCCATGCGATCTGCCTTGCAAGCGGCATTTCGCACGACGGAACACAACTTCTTCCAATATGCCAACAGGCTACTGGGCCCGAGCATTTTTTTTGCTGGTTGTTTTCTTCGCAATCTTTCGGCTCCAGGCTTGATGCAGGGCCTGCAGCAGCGTGGACGAATGCAGGATCAGCTTCCATTTGTCACGGCGTAAAGCGTATCTCCGTTCAACATGGTTCCACCTTGACGAAGGAAGTACGGCCTGCACGTGCACATTCTATGGCCCAGATGAGGTCGCAAACATGCTGGCTAAGCGGCTAGCAGAGTTCTCGCTCTGTTTCCATTGGTTTGAGGATGGCCGCCTGCGGCTGGCTGTGGCGAATGCTGGGGACAGTCGCGCTGTGCTGGGTCGCAAGGAGCTGGCAGTTTGCAACAACATGGACCTTTGAGAACGGCATGTTTTGATGATCCAGGCAACTGCATCAGTTGTTGATTCATGAGGGCGTGAAACGTTGCAGAACAACTTGTGCGTCGCAGGACTGCAGCGCATTGCGGTTGTCTGAAGATCACACGCATTGACCTGAGAAAGCTGTGGAGAGCATTCGCGTGGAAGTCCTTTGCATTGCAGTGGCTCTTTCTGCTTGTGCTTCTCACAGGCCTGATGTACCTGGTGAGCGCAAGCGGATTGAATCCGAAGGTGCGGCCAGGCTCCGAGAGAATTTGTGCGAGCTGCACGGAATTCTGATGGATGCATTATCAGGATGTTTGGGGGGGCTTTCGGTGTCACTGGATGTGCTTCAAGGCAGTGGTGCAAGCAAGTGGCATTTGGAGAATTGTGTTGCCCAGCAAGAAGGCCGGGCTGCGAAGTCGATTGCGTTTTGCTGTGAGCTTGAAGCTACGCTCTTGTGTCAGGGCACGGGACTTGCGGGCTTGTCCGTTTCGCGCGGCTTCGGTGACATCGAGTACAAGACTGGCACCAACGCATGCAGCCCAGCACCAGCATGCATACAACAGCGCGCTGAGCATGCTGACCTAATGACGCTGCACAGAAGCTTGCGGTTAAGGTGGTGAGTGCTGTGCCGCGGCCTTTCGCAGACTTCTGATCGAGTTCTCATTAAAGTCCGTAAGACTGGAGGCCTGATGTTTTCCTTTCCGCACTAGACTTGCGAGAGGACCCTGACTCCGTGCAATCTGCTCACTATGATCTGCTCGCAGTCGTTTCCTGAGATGCAGGACTGCTTCGTCGTCATTGCTAGCGATGGGGTTTGGGGTCCGGTATCGGACGGGGAGGCGCGGCTCATGGTATCTAGCTAGACCACTGACCTCAAAGCATCTAGAGACATTGCTTGCAAATGCCATGGTGTGAAAACACATCTTGCCTTAGTCAGTCACTCAGCTTGGCTCACAACATACCTGATGCGCTCGAGGAGCCGCATGTCAGCAACATGTAATTGGAACTATTGGAGAAAGCTTCGACGTTGGCCCGCAGGCCGTAAGAATCGTGGCCGGTGCATTGCGCGAAGGCGGAGAGGCCCGCGTGGGGACAAACACAAAAATGCGTGCATTCCGCTATGTACTCAGAGTGTTGCTGCAGAGTACAGAAGTAGACTCGACTTCTTCAGGAGCCAGCGGCCAAAGCGGCACGACAGCTTCTAGAGATCGCGCACCAAAGGGATGGCCACGATGCCACGGCCTCTGTCGTGATGTTGGTCATTGGCATTATCGTACTGTAGCATAACAATTACTCGGTTACTGAACTTGCAGTGCCTTAGGATACAAATCTGTCATCTTTCGTCAAAAGAACAAGCCTGAGGACAAGACGGTTTTGGTCATTTGGTTTGGCGATCTGCCTCTGGCACCACCGGCGGCTGCCAGCTCAGACGCCGTCTGATGTTGTGTGCTAACACCCCAGCCTGTCAATCCAGGAGCGACCCAGCACCTACCCGCACAGTGCTAGAGGCCTGCCTCCATGCATGTCATATAGCAGTGTGGCTTGTGATCTTATGCTTCTCAGATTCTCGGCTTCCTTGGATGATGTTACAGGCAAGCCATAAGAAAGGCATACAAAAAGGCAGACATGAAGCCATTGCCGATTCGAAGCCTCCTGCCTTGGCCATGCACAAGGCCGCTCCAGCGCCACAAGTCACATGCTCGGCTGCACCATTGCACACGGGTGTGTAGCTGTGCATCTTTCCATAGCATAGCAGATTGCACTGCCATGGCGAGCCATTTTCCTGCTCTGTGTGAGCGACAAAAGAGAGGGATTAAAGATGCGAAGCTGTTGGAAGATAGAAGTAATTGCAAAAGGCCAAGACAAGGCACGTGTAGTTCGACCGAGGGCTCTTGTTGCCCTTTATTCCAGCCATTCCCTTGCTGCTGCTGGCGAGATGTCTACAATCGATAGGCCGAGCCGGTAAAGAACATAGATACCCTAGTAACCTAGTATATAGTCTTGCAGGACGCTCCGTTGATATTAGCTCTTTGTCCATGCAGGGCGACCACCAAAGTGGCGACCTGGTACGTACGGCAACCATGCACGTGCTTTGCCGGATGCTTGTTCATGATGGCCTCTCGCCTGCACACAGATCCGTGGCGGTTCCCAAGTAGGAAGGTTACTTTCGTTTGCGGACATGGCACAGCCAAGTTCGCGCTCTCTGGTCTTTCTGCGGGCCTGGGATACATGAACCTGATGACGAGGGAGCGGCGCTGTCTTGTGAGCCATGCATTTCCCTCCCAAGTTTAGTGTAGGGCTAGGGAATGTTGGGTCGTGAGGACCCGAATTTCCGCGGTCCATCCTCTGGGGCCCTGGTTTCCTGCTCAAGGTACCAGGTTACCACTCGTTGAAGTTCTTGAAAACCACGTTTCTTGGCACTAAGTGAGCTAAAACAGAAGTATACCATTAGCTTGTGAGCTTTGCCTTCCTGCAGACATGGATCTGGATGTTGGGCTGTTTCCTCAGCACCCGCGAGCGCACCCGCGCTCCACCACGGCACCTAAGAGCGACGCCAAGGCATTTTGGAAGTCGGGATACAACGACGCACGGGTCCGCAGGCGATTGCGGTTCTCGCTGTTCTCGTTCTCGACGTGCACCTGGCTGGGCTCAGCACTCACGCTGAAAGCTGCACCAGGAGCCTCCCTGACAGGGTGCACAGCCCGCGGCCGCCGCGTCTCCCTGCGCGGAGCGAGGGCCGCGAGGGCGAGGACTTCCTGTAAAGGTCTTGCGAGTATGAGTCTTAGGGATTTGAGTCTCGTGATGGACAGCCATCACGCATCGAAGAGAATCTGGTCGGCGCTGCGTTGCGGCATCTCGCCCTTCTCGCTGAACTTGTCCCAAGGCCAGGCGGCGGCCTTGCGCGCCCTTGACCCCGACCAGCAGTTGGAAAAGCTGCTGCGGGAGGATGCCGTGGAGAGTTTGGCAAATAGCGAGTCTATTGAGGAGAACGAAAACAGCGAGTTTTCGGAAGCTCCCAAAACACGGAAGTACCTCCTGCGGCTTCACGATGGTTTGGCCGTGGAGTCTGTTTTGATTCCGTTGCAGTCTCGGTCCCCTGCCAAGACTGCGACGACGGCATGCATCAGCTCGCAAGTGGGTTGTGCGCAGGGCTGCCGCTTCTGTCGCACAGGAGATATGGGCCTCCTCCGGAACCTGTCCTCTGAAGAGATCCTGGCTCAGGTGGTCCAGGGGCGTCGCATCGCACGCGATCTGGGTTTGCCGGAAGTGCGAAAAGTGGTTTTCATGGGAATGGGTGATCCCTTGGCCAACATCCCCAGTGTCCGCGCTGCAGTCGGTGCACTGAGCGACGGACTGCGCATGGCCATAGGACGCAAGCGCTTGCAGGTCTCAACCATCGCCCCGTCCCCTGCCAAAGTTATGCAGGTGGCGGGCATGCGCTGTGGGGTTGTATGGTCACTTCATGCAGCCAACGATGCATTGCGTTCTCAACTAGTCCCTACTGCAAAGCATGGTATATTGGAGCTGAGGGATGCTTTCATGCAGTTGGTAAAGTCAGGCGGAGGGGTGACCCCTGACCGTCGCTTGCTGGTGGCCGTCGTCATGATTGCTGGAGTCAATGACGACGAAAGGCACGCGAGCGAACTCGCGGATTTCCTCCGACCAATGTACGAAGATCCTGATGTTGGGGTCGCGCTGAACCTGATTCCCTACAACCCGAACCCGGGCCAAGAAGACTTCGACACATCCGACTACGGGACGATGCTTCGATTCCGAGAGCTTGTGAACGATGAGCTGCCACTGCTGGGCATCCACCTGCGCCGAACACGCGGAGCCGCCGGCTCGGCAGCTTGCGGGCAGCTGGCCACGCAGTCTCACAGAGATCTCAGAGACAGCAGAAAAAAGGAGGGCTTATGGGGTAAGGATTGGCGACTGTTGATTCTCACTATGCGAGGAAGGGGAGGTTCTGTAGGGGCCGCGACATGCAAAGCCATCCGCCCTCTGTGCAGGAAGATACATGGATGATCTTGGATGGCGAGATGACGCAGCATTTCAGAGCTTATCGAGCTGCGCGGGAAAGTGTGTTGGAGGCAGCAAGCCCAGTTCTTGAATCGTTTCCTTAAGATGCCAGGCCCACGACGCCCAATTGCTATCGTGACCAAGCGAGGAGTTTCAAGCTGACGACGCTGACGATGACAGGGATTACAATCAAGAGAGGTGCCCGGCCTCATTTGGTGAGACAAGACGGGCTTTTCAGTATGCCTTGGGGTAGTAGGCTGATGTTTGCAGAGGCTTTTCTTCTTCTACAAGACGGATGTGGAGGGGACTGGCACCCTCTTTACCCCGGAGCGGCTGGTTAGCATCTGCGAGGTGGAAAAGACCATGCTGGCCAACAACTCGCAGGTGAAGGAGCCTTTGCTATGTTTTATCGCACTGCGGACCTAGCCGACTCTCGCGTTTTTTCGTCACTTAAGCTAGTGTTTCCGTTCCTTCCGTTGCAGTGTGGATCGCAAGGCCGTGCCCACTGGAGATTCGGTCCTTGGTCTCTTCTATGGCACGGCTGCCAACCCAGCCATGCAATCCGTGCCAGCAGCGCGTACGATCGCTGGTTATGACTGGAGCTGCCAGAAGCTTTCCCAGAGTGACGTAGACAGTGTCGTCGACACTATGCATACAGACCTCGCCAGCAAGGCCCAGCACTGCTGATGTGGGGCTTGTGCTTCCATCTCTCCTCCCTTTTCATAGATGCCTTGCACATGCTTCCCTTGGAAGGGCCCGCAGTCGCTTTATGCACGGAGTCTCGTCAGCACTTTCGCGCAAGAGTGCTATGATCGACTTGGCGAAATCGGATCGAATCGTCATGTTGCTCTCATCCGCGACCTGCGAAGGTTTGTCGACCCAAACTTCCGGGAGACCAAGCAGACCGCCTACTCCCGGACCTTCGCAGAGCTCCAGGCGAGGGACTTCTTTAATGGAATGCTGAATGCTTGTATTGATTGTATTGACTTCTACTGGTTGTATTCCGGTTGTGCGACTCTCTTTGTCTCTTTGCTGTATAGTGACAAAAATCAATATCTGCCCACATCTGTGCCGCCATGGCGGTCTTCTGGCTTGTTTGCCCTGAGGTACTCCGGAACGACGATGAGGTGAAGGTGATGGAGCCGGCCTTCGAGAAATTGGGCCTCGCGTACGGATTCCTCCGCTCCGCCTTCCAAGGGGATGAGGATCGCTTCGTCCAGTCAGGCCCGGAAAAGTTCGAGTCAGACCCTAAACCGCTTTAGACCTTTCTTCGTGTGGCTGCCGTCCGTCATCCTATCTTCGAGACCAGCAGAAGGGCGGAGAAGAGCAATCCGTGCGCAGGCGACATCCGAGTTCGCGTGACGTACACCGGGATCAACGAGATTCAAAAGATGGCACTTCCAGACTTTGGACTGTCCTTTTTTTCGGTGATCCTGGTCTTCGGTGTTTCGCTGGAAGCTCAGACATAGACATGGGCTTTGCCAGAACAGCCGTTTCCTTTCAGAGCCGCAGGTGGGTTCACATGAAGTCCAGCTTCATGGCATCAGCCGCACTTCTCATGATGGTTTCCGCCTCAGCCCTGCAGTGTACCAGAGCGTGGTACTTTACGTGCTTCTTGCGTGTTGGCGCCAGATTCTCACGCTGCCAATCGCATCACTCTTCTACCAAGGACTCTCGGCTGAGCTAGAAATGGAACCCAGCACACACGACGAGACGACACCAGTCACTGCCAGTTTCCCGTTCTTTAAGGCGTGTTCCGGATTGAGTACTTCGAGTTCCTGCACATCCTCGTTGTGTATCTGGTCTTGGGTATCGGAGCGGATGATGTGTACGTCTTCAAGGACACCTTCTGCCACGTCAAGAAGGCGCGCAACAGAGACTTGGGAGCCTTCTATTCTAAGCTTCGCTCATCTCCGCTCGCCGCGCACTCCGCACCAGGCTGAGTTTCCCTTCGCCCAGCCGGGACGACTCACAGAAGAGCAGGAGCTAAGCAGACAGAATGCTTCCAGAAGAAAGCCCTTCAGGCTTCGAAGAGGATCTGCCGCAAACTGAGTGTGTCTCGAGGAGATTCGGGTGCTGTCCTTGACATTCCAGCGTGCTGGCGCTGCCGTCACGCTTTTCTGTGCTTTGCTGAGCTGTCGCGCTGTCAAGAGACACCTGTCTGGTGATTCTCACCTCGGCCAGGCACAGCCATCTTCAACACCTCCTTCACCACGGCTTTGGCTTTTGCCTCTTGCTCTGTATCCTGGCATAACGACACAAGCATCACAAGCGCACTTTCATCACGAAAGCTTCTTGGCAATACCTTACTTCCGAAAAGATCACGACCGCCCTGCAGGTGTCCAAGGCGATGCCCATGCGGACTTGTGGTTGGTATGCCCCTCTTCGTGAAAGCATTCTTTCCTGTGTGTCATCTGTTCGAATCAAACTACTTGTCGCTAGCAGGCAATGCTGGCATGAAGTTGCGTGAGCACGTCAGAATCATGTTTTCAACCTAGGCGGCGACATGCATCGTCACCTTGTATGCAGGGCTCTTAGCCATCCTGCTTGCAGCGCAAGAGTGAGATGAGCTGCAGCAGGTGCTAACACTGGTATACTATCCGCCTGTCGTCATCCTGTGGCATCGACGCCTGCAATCGAAGCGGTGCTGTTGCCCTGGATTGACAGAACGGCCAACTGCCGTTGTTCCAGAGGGAATGTTCAAAGAGAAAAAAGTGGACCAGGAGGAGCCATGGCAGAGGTTGAGCGAAAAAACCGGTAACCGCTGACGCTGCTGTCTCTTACTGGCATGTGCTGGATGGGCTCAGGAGGAGTCTGCCGGCCCTGTGGAGAGGTTCTTCGAGAAGCTCTACATTCCAGTACCTAGCCTGCCATGTTTTCGAAGCTCGGGAAACAAGTGCTCAAGCCCTAGGTGATGTCCAAGCAAGTGGGTGGGCTTCGGATCTATGCCTTGTTCCTGGCTCTCCTCCTCCTGGCAGTGGCGATTCAAGGCCCGGCAATCGAATAGATCAGTACACCAGGGGGGGCAGAAAGCAACGGGACACCGCATTTTGTGCCGCACATTGGCTTTTATTCGACATGTCAGTCTGGCAGTTTCCTCCGCTACCAGTGAGCGGATGCAGGAATCGCTTTCGCGATGCAATTGACCCCTCCACGATCCGAAGAAGTTTGGTTTCCAGGAGCGTCTCCGGCAGTTCTTATTGACAGGGTTTGGAAATGAGCGGTTTGCCTTGGCAGGAAACCACATGCTGCTCAGCCTCCAGGACTTCATGGCAGACAACTTCTACACTCCGTCCTCAGACAACTACGCCGCCCCCGGGCCTCAAGAATATCAGCTTAGTGGGGTTGGATTGCTCAAACAGCCTCTGCTTATCTCTTTTCTTTACTCTACCTTACCAGCTTACCATATTCTACTACACCTCGACTAGATATTGGGCCAGGCTGTTCTCGATTCTATTCGGCTATACTACTGTAGACTGTATTGTACTGATTGTACTATTGTACTCTCTCTTTTTCCCATCCATGATCCGACTTTACATGCTATAGTCTTATCGTGATCGTAGCCGAGGTTGTCACGATCTTCTTGGGCATCGCGGGCTTGGACAAGACCGGCATCCAAGTCTATGATCCAGGACACCTCAAGTACACACATCATTGCAATTGGCATGTAACTGTCCCCTTGTATGGTACACGAATTGCACCTCTAAATACGTACCTACACATAATATGCAATGTATGAAACATGCATGAATCATGCATGCATATATGGTCAGGCGTCTGGCGTTCCCAGCCCCCCCCGCCCCAATGGTATGGTCTGGTACGGGGTGGGGGGGGGGCGTTGGCGGAGAAGGGTGGGGGCCGTTGGAGCTGCAGCTGGAGGGACGGCCAGGCGTCACAGACAAGGCCAGCATCGTACGCAAGCCCTACGCAAGCCATAAAATCTGTAACGTAGCGCAGTAGCACCTGCTCCTGCTTTTTTATAACTTGACCTACACTTCAAACCCTGCACCCAACCCTAAACCCCGCCTAAATGCAGGCTCTAAGCCTAAACCCGAACATAAACTGTCAACCCTAACGAACCTACACTCCAAACACAAGGTATAAGGCTTCGAGTCGACAAGGGCTTAGGGAGGATTTGCGGTGTATGTTCTGCTTTGGGCTTAGAGCCTGCAGTGAGGAGGGGTTCTGGGTTGGGTGTAGGGTTTTAAGTACAAGTAAAGGTGTGTCAAAACAGGGGCACGCGCTGCGTTTTTGGGTTTACGCTTCCTTGCGAAGGGCTTGCGTATGAGCCCTGGCCGCCAGTACCACCCCACCGTTTAGTGGCAGCTCCAACGGCCCCGACCCCTTTCCGCACACGCCAGCCCCCCCCTACCAGACCATAACATTTGGGGGGGGGGGGGGGTCTGCGAACGCCAGACGCCTGACCATACATGCCTATCCATCTGGCTGTCTATCTGTGCATCTAGCTATCCAGCTATCTAGCAATCTCTCTACCTATCTTACACATGCACATACATACACGCACACATGCATACAGACATGGTGACACATGTTCGTAGTTTTTCGTATGTTTATGGTCAACTTGAACTGCTTCTCTGTGCATTCGCCCGTTGACATATGGGAGTTTCCGGAAGCCCTCATACGTTCTGTTCCGTTCGCCGCTTGTCTGCTGCTCTCATCTTTTGCATCTTGCAGGAGCATTCACTGGCACTGCCATCTACGACGATGCCTTTGATCTGAGCACTGCCGAGGCCATCAAAAGAGCACTGCCTTGGAGACACTGTGCCGTATGATCAGGACGTCATAGTGAGGGGGTTATGAAGTCACTGATCAGTCAGGCTCCCATGGTAAGGTACTGTTTTCTTCCCCGGATCTGTTAACAATGGGATGTATAGATGCTCGCTAGGTACCTCTGTGCAGTGTGCAGGTGCTGCTTATCAGGGCTGCCTGTCTCTTGGGACTGTCCTTGTCTACGCCTTCATTAGGCTTGTGTTTGCAGGCTCAGTCGGCACTGCTCAGCATCTGCGACAAAGTGCACAACATCACATGTGACCTGCAGGCCAGGTCCATCACGTTGACATGTTCCGCTTGAACGAGTGCCACTTGTGGCTCTTAAAGCCTTACTTTGTGTGCGCGCAGGGATGCGACAACTCTGGCTACGACCAGAAGACCTTCCTCATGCAAACCTCGGAGAGGAGAACTGCAAAGCAAGGGTTTTGTCAAGGGATCGAGGAACATGGCCCCTCCATTGTCTACATGAAAGGACCGACGCTTGCTTTCTGAAAGACTTTCAGACATGGCTGAATGGGCCGCTTCCGACCGGGGCGAACTTCACAGCTCAGCTCAAGAATTTCCGCGACAATGCTGTTGTAGGCGCGGGTGAGTTGGGAATGCCCGAGGTTCGGCAGCATACGCTCTAAGTGCCGGCTGTCGCAGAGCAGGCGACTACTACGGGGACATCATGAAAAAGGAAGTTAATTTCAAGGAGGACCTGCAGTGGAAAGGGACGTTCGGAGTGTCGAAATGGTTTCCTCGCCAGGAAAGGTTCTGATTCAAATGGCAAATGTTTTCTGTAAGATTGAAGAGCATCCTCACTGTAAGACGGGGATCATCAGTGCATGATGGACGCTTTTGCCTTCAAGCTCCAGCCTCAAAGCAATGCAAAGCAATGGCCTCCAAGCTTGCTTTGCTTGTAGAGGAGCCGCCCAATGCTCAGACAATAGATTCAACAGATGCTAGATTGCTGGATCTTCGTAGGTCTTCAGCTCTCGGAGGACATCGGCTTCATCGCTGGTGAGCTCAAGTATGTTGCCATCAAGTTCCGAAGCGTGATGAAGAAGCGGCTGCCATTTTCCATAGGCTTGGCGGGAAGTGAAGTTGACCGCGAAGCCAATGATGTCAACTCTTTGGGCATTGCAGCCGTCCAGGCACAGAAGTGCGGGATATGCTGCGTGAGTGGATGGATCAGCAAAGAGGTCGGCTGACTTGGCTCTAGTACCAGCTGTCCCTTTCGGTGCAGTTGCACCTTCCAGGACCCCTGCCATCCAGCCTGCAGAGCATCAAGTTCCATGGGAATGGAGAATTCCAGAGGTCGCGCTTTGGGCAGAAGGGAGGTATCTGAGTCTGAGAGCATGGTGCCAGTGAAGCAGGTACGACATGGGAGAGGAACTCATCAACGGGCTTTTCTCCGGCATTGTCAGTGCCTCAAGCGTTGACAGCTTGAAATAGAAAGCCAAAGACGACGTGCTTGCAGGCAATTGCCATGCCGGTCTCATTTCTGGTACTCCTCAGCTCGACGCGAAACATGGCACTGACCTCAGCTGTGCTTGCAGGTCTTATCTTTCCCAAGTGTGGCACATGCAGCCCAGGTTGTGGCAATCTATGCCGTGCTCACTGTGGGCTCCATCGCGCCTCATCCACATTGAATGTTGATGTTCGCCTAGGAGAGAGACGCCCGGATTTGTTGATCCCAGCACCCTTGTGATGGTGTGATGTGAAGGTGCTTTGCGTGCTCGGTTTCTGCAAGAGTGCCATGGACTGGGATCTGGGCATAGGCGACGTGTTTGTCCCACCTCCGCTCAATGTTGGGTCACTGATGGCTTGTGTCCGGGCTGGCAGGCGAAGCCATCGCGGGTGTCATTGTCATCGGATACTCCGTGGACTACGTCGTGCATTTGGCACACATGTACTGCGAAGCCAAGCACTTCGGCCATGAGACGCGTAGCCGGCTTACAGCAGTTGCCTGGACTCTGCGATCGTACTCATCCCCTTGCGTGCCATTTATTGCCGCTGCTTTATGCTCCAGGTGATGATCGGGCCAAGTTTGCCATTCGCAACATGGGCTCAACCATTTTCGCAGGCCTTCCGCGAGAAAGCTAGCGGCCAGCGCCTTTGCATTGCGATTGTGGGGAGGTGCGTTGACCACGATGCTCGCTGGCGCCACGATGTTCATGTGCTTCTTCTACTTCTTCATCAAGATGGCTTTGCTTATCTGCGTAACCATCATGTGCCCTGAACCCCCACGGTGAGACCAGCTGACTAGCTTTGCAGCCGGGAGGTACTCATTCCTCTACTCCCTGGTCTTCTTCATGGCAGTTCTCTGGCTCGCAGGACAGACACGAGCCCACGACAGTGCCCGAAAGTCGGTGGCTTCTACGGCTTGAGTTTTAGCGGCCTTTGCTTTCTGTGACGAAAGATGGAAGCCGTGCTTCGCCTCCAGGACCCGAGTACAACTTTGGCTTCTTGGCCCAACACACCCGTCAACAGTCGCTTTGTCTTGCTCTCGTTGGGCCTTACCATCTTACAGCTGCTCAGGCTACCTGTGCTTGCCCAAGTGGTGCATGGGCGGTTCGCACAAGGAAGAGGAAGTGACGATCGTCAACAAAGACGTGCAGGAAGTCTGCAACTCTCTCTTTCGTGCGAATCTTCCTGCGATGCCTGTTCAGGAGAGCAACACTGCCGATGCAGAGAAGCCAGCAAAAGAGTATGATCCGGCTGAAATCACCGAACAGGATGCGTGTTTTTCGATGACTTTGGGATTTCATGTTACTGGTAGTAGGTCAGGCCCCAAGTGATCATTGACACAGCACAGGAACTCGACGAGGGGCCGCGGACCATTCAGGTGCCCTGAGCTATCTGACCTGACACCTGCATGTAATCTCCCTTCCCCCTTCCGGGGCTCACAACAGCCTCGCCGGTGCGAGTTCCCTCTCGGTTCGATTTATTCGTTCGAGGCTCGCAGTAGCAAGAAGAGGGCTGCAACGATGGAGTCAGTCTGCTCCAGTCCACCCATGCGCTTTTTCAATTTGCGCCATTGCCAGACACACCTCCAGTTGCAGTCCGTATCCATCCTGAAGTCAGTCGCAGGAAGGCTCGCTTAAGGCGGCACAAAGCCTTTCGGAGAGTGGGCAAGGAGATATAGCTAAGCATAGCATTGCAGAGCCGGGTAGCTACAGCATACACCAAGCTCTCCACCCGCGGCTGAGATCAGCTTATTACTTCGGCTTAGCAAAGCCTTGATTTGTCTTGGCGCCAGGGCATTGCTTGACTTTGCACAGATCTGCATGTTATTCCAGCTCTGCGGCTGTCCACACGGGTTTCGACTTCAGGTCCTAGGTTCTCTTGAGATGTTTATTACTAGTGGGCTCCAGTAGCTGGGTACATGTTCCGACGTTTTTGACGGTCGCAGAGGCACGGCGGGAGGGACGCCGCGGGATTGGGGGTGCCGTCTTTACAAGGAGTGGCCGCCGGATTGGCGGAGTGCTGGACTTTCAAGTCCCCCCCCAGTTCCGGAGCCGCGTTCCTCAGCTTTTCGGCCTCGAAGGGTTTCTGCCCATCAGTACAGCTGCTACCCTCATCGGGTCGAGTTCCAAGTGCTGCGCGGAAACAACACCAGGATGTTCCACAACTGCGTTTTCCGATTGCCTGAACTCCTCATGATTCCCAATGAGTATGTCAGTACTGCTTCCGACGGTGCCCTCTTCTGAGAGGATGGGCTAGAGTATTTACGGTGTGGGGTCCGCAAGCCGTGTAGCATTCTGATTCTGCTGCGCGCGCTTGGTGTTTTCCACGGTGGGCTGTGGTCCAGCCCGGCATGAGGCCAAGTAGGCTCTTTCGGTTCTGCATCTCGGGAGGAACCGCAACCAGTGAAAACAGAGTTCTCATTCAACGGTCGGATTGGATGCCGAGTTGTAGTGAGATTCTTCGCGATTTAAAGACCAGGCTTGCTTGGGCAGTGCTTTCTTGATGTCTGTGACTTCTTGAGGTGTCCCAGCGAGGCCCGTCACAGGCTCGGACGACATGTTCGCTTCGACCAGGCTTGCTCCTCAGGGGCGTACCTTGTGTGGGTCACGGGCCTCACACAGCACGGAAGGCATGAGGATCCTATGGGGACTCTACAAGCTTCATTCTCGGGATCCCAGCACCGGAACCCAGCGCAGCCAGCAGCGGCAGCAGCCACGAGTATGGTATCAACCGCAAAAGCAGCTATGCTTCAACTTTATTCAAACGACAAGCATGAGATCAAAGAAAGCAATTACGACCCGCACAGCCTTACCAAACATGGTGCTGATTCTGCTGGTGACGGTAGTGATGAAGGTGCTCATGGCAAAAGCGATGCTGATGCTGATGATGGACGAGGAGGAGTTGTAGTCGTAGTTGCAGTGTTCGTTCTGTTTCTGCGGAAGAAGGAGGCGGTGATGATTTTGCTGCTGCTGCTGGTGTTGGTGGTGGTATTGTTGATGATGATGTACAAGGACCGGAGCCCCATTGAGTCGAATGAACAGGAGAGGCACGTGGTGGGCCCCGGCAGGGCGTGCCCCCGAAGTCACGAGCAGAGCAACAACACCAACCCCGTTGAAAGCGGGGGGTCAGAACAGACGTGGCTCCAGAAGTACTGGAACCAAGTCCTTCTTGCGCGGGCGGCATCGGTTGCGAGGGAGGGCTGGGTGGAACAACACACAGTGCACCGGTTTTTCCAGTCCTGTAGATTCATACACAAAGCGAGGAAGGGGCAGCAACACAACCTACGGGGCTCCAGGATTTGCCTCTTCTATGATAGCAGAAACGTTGGAGGCAAATGTTGTTCGGATGGGGCCTTCGTTGCTGGTCGGTCCTTGTCCGTGTCCCTGTTGCTGCTGCTGCTGTTGTCGTTGCTGCTGATGATGATGGCGGCGTCCCGGTGTTGGTGCTGGTGCTAGTGCTAGTGGTGGAGGGGGCGTGGCGATGTCGGCGTGTGGTGACCATGCTTAAGAGGATGGCGATGACAACATAGGCTGCGGGACCTTGCCGATGGTAAGGACGATTGCATGTTGGCATGAATGGTGATGATATTTTCAATGTCATCATGGTGGTGACGACGATGAGTATGAGGGTGAGAGTGAGGATGAGGACGACGATTACCATGCCGTTGATAATGCGCAAACGATGCTGCAGTGGCTGCTGGTGCGTGTGCTTGCATGCCCAGGAGTGGCGACTTGGACAGCCTCTTTGCATCCTATGCCAAGGAGATCAGCAGCAACAATCACAAGTCCAGGCGAGTGCTTGGGCATCACCCAACCCTTCCATGCTCCGAGTGGATGTAACAAGCCTGTGAGTGGAGTCCTTGGGCATGCATCGGCAGGTGAGATGCCTCTCACATCTGAGCCGCGTGGTGTTTCTTGGGGGCTTGTAGTTTGGAGCCAAGCTGGTTTGAACTAGAAGTGAGCAGAGCAGGCACAATTCAATTGTTCATCTGGTTTTGGGCAACAGGGTGTTGACATCCGGCTTCAGACGTCTCACAGACGAATGTGGGCTTCTAACCTTGGATGGACTGTCGTGCTTTCTATCCGAGCCTACTAGCTCAGTCATGCACGCGTTCGTGCGGTGCTGACCATGATGATGGCGGCCCACAAGAAAATGACTGCCATCAGCCTTGCTCGATGCAGCTGCTTGTGGCCGCTCTCCAGTTCTTGTGCTGTCCTTCTCGTACATGCTGCTTCTGCTGCCGCTTTTGCTTTTGCTAGTACGATGCGTCCGCCCACTTACCACGAGGACGAGCACGGCAACTACCACACCAACTAATTCTTTCACTCCGGCACGGTTGTGGACAGGTATCCGTTGTGCAGACTTGAAGGTTTTGGTTCAAGTCAACGGAAATTCCGCAGCCGCTGCGGCGCTGCTCTTGTCAAGCGCAGCCAATGCTTTCCTTCGCGAATTCAGCATCATCACGTGGTGCTGGCCTCCATTGCCGTGGCAAGCCCTGTCTCCTCCCGCAGCCGCTATGCTACAGCCTCGACCCAATGAGTGCTTTCACAAAGCTGGGATGAAACTGGATGGGTTCAGCCCCGTCTCGGTACCTGCGATGCCGATCTTACCCGCTTCCACAACTTCAGAACACCGCGAAAAGGAACAGGAACTGAAGCACGTTCGCGCTCTCAGTGGTTACGAGGACCTTGCCGCAGTAATAGAGTCCGACCAGGAGGCCTCTAAGCTTGTTGAAGAAGTTGTTGACCTTCACGCCCTTATGTGTGCTGTCCACGGCATACCTAAGGAAACTCCCACAAAGCAAGTGTCTGCAATGGTCACGAAACTACTTTCTCGGGCTGAGATGCTATCTTCACCTGAGGCCCTCAATGCTGTAAAGCAAGAGGCAGACGGTCTTCGTGCGGTTCCTGTTTGGGACGAGACGAACCCACAAGAATACGCAAGCGTCCACGCGCAAGCGCGCCACACAGGTACTAAGGTACATTTCGGTAAGCTGATGAGCATTGCATCCATCAAGTTTGGGAGCTTGCCAAGCACCTTCAGAAAGTGAAGGGCCGGATTGTATACCGAGGCGACTGTGCGAAGGACGAGGAAGGCGCCGCAGCGGTTTACAGAGAGTTAGGTGCAAACCCCACCTCTGTTCAGGGACTTAATGCCTGCCTTGCTTACGGTAGCTTACCTGGCCATCAGTCTAGTGCCGCAGAGGCCGTCAAAGCGTATGTACAAGCTCTTCTTAGATCTAAGTACCAATAAACTTGGATAGAGCTTCGGCCTGAACTCCGCCCCGCCTGGTGGCGTGAGTGTTTCAGTGGTGCTGCTTTTACGCGCACTGTACGGTCACCCAGAAGCAGGCGGACTTTGGGAGAAACACCTTATATATGGGTGGACAAGAACTGCCGGATTATCCGGGTAACTTCTGGTTTCCTGAGACTAAGCTCCTTCTTTCCACCTAGGTTGATGATCTTACCCTCTCTGGCCCTCAGGAGGAGCACCAGCCCGTCTGGGATGCTTTATGTAAGGTTGTTGATGTAGAACCCCCAGAGCCTGTATACCATATCTTAGGTCGCAACCATTGCACTGTCAACGCCGAGCCAGAAGGCACTGAGAATGCAGCCCTTGGCGCATTGAAGGGTGCCATGGCTGCCATGGCGTTTGATATTTTTGATTATGCGCAGTAGACCTGTACAAGGGCCTCACTGGCCTTAAGGCTCTGAAGCATGCTGCCACTCCTTTCGCTCCAGAGGCTTCTCTCCCTGTGAGTCAGGAGGAGATCGCTGGGGAGCTTGCCCCTAATGCATGCAAGGTGTTAATGAAGGCCCTCTGGCTAGGCAGACTTGCACGTCCTGACTAAGTCAAGCCGATAGGTGACCTCGCGACCAAGGTGCAAAAGTGGTCAAGGAATGATGACAAGAAGCTTCTTCGCTTGATAAGCTATGTCGATTCCACTAAGACCCACCGCCTCGTCGGCACTGTGTCGGACGGGCCAAGGGAGCTGCATCTTGCGCTTTACGTCGATGCTGATTTTGCAGGGAAAGAGACGATGCCAAATCCAGTTGTGGAGGCTTCTTGGTCCTAAAAGGTCCCAATACCTTCTTTCCACTTGCATGGGTGTCAAAGCGCCAGACATCTGTGAGTCGTAGTACCACAGAATCCGAGATCGTGTCTTTAGCTCATAGCCTTTTCCAAGAAGAGCTTCCTGCTTTGCAGCTCTGGCAGACGATCCTCGACTATCCGATCAGGCTAGTCATTCATGAGGACAACCAGGCTACAATTCTAGTTGCGAAGAAGGGCTATTCGCCAAAGCTTAGGCACATAGCGCGCACCCATAAGGTCAAGTTGGGTTCCATATCTGAAGTGATTGAGGAGGATGATGTAGACATTGAGTAT